GATTCTTGTCCTTTCTTGATTTTGCATGAACCTGGATATTTGTGATGTACCTTGCACGAATTAATGAGCTCCAAAGTGGATCAAATCTAGCCCATATGCATAGCCTATGATTTTTATGATTTTATTTAATTTATTTTGCATTTATTTGAGTAAAAACAAAACAAATATAAATAAAATAATAAGAAAATACAAGACAAGGTAAGAGTTAGTTTAGGAGTATTTTTCAAGGTCATGGACATGTTTGAAGTCCAAAAGGTTAAGTCACAAGTCCAAAATTTGAAGTTTGCACATTTAGCATTTCATGCATTTTTTAAAAATAGCCTAACTTGTGCAACTCATAACTTGTGTAATTTTCAACTTTTGAAGATGATATTGGACTTTTTGGAAATATCATGATTCCCTCTACAATCTATATGTTTATCATTTTTGTTTTTGAAGATATTATCTTGATGTAAGTTGCCTTGACAAAAAATGTCTTTTGTTGACTTTTGAAAATGACCTATAATGTGTGAGCTTATATCTTCCAAATGAAGCATCTTTTGAACTTGAGAATAGAACAAAGTTGTAGGGAATTAAATTTTATTCAAAATGGGATTTGGCTGGGGAAAATTTGATGAAGCGTGTAAAAGTTATGCCTGGTCAAAGTTCAGTTGACTTCTCCTAAGGAAAGCCTAATTTGACAAATCTTGACTTTTGATGATTTGAGAGCTTTCCTTGGGGAATCATGATCAAGCCTTGATCAAATGATGAATATTACTTCAAAATGTTTATTTTGACCAAAAGTCTTGAATTTTTACTATATATTGACCATATTTGACATTTTGACCAATATAGTTGATTTTCAATCATTTGAGCCATTGACTGAGCAAACTTTTGATGTAGGGCTTGAAACTTGATATGGACCTTGTTGAGGACCTATTAAGAACCATGGAAGCCACTTGGGACCTTTTTAAACTAAATTTCCTTGAGAAATTCCAAACCCTAGTTGTAGGCTTTTGACTTAGGAGGAGCATCTTGACTAGTCAACCCTTGAGTGTCCTGAGTGTCTGAGAAGCCTTGGAAGGATGCCTTGAAGAAAAATGCGAGGACAAATTTTGGGGTAAAACACCATTTTTCAACATGATCTCTTAGGAAATGGTGACATATATCAATATGTTTAGTACGATAGTGTAGCACTGAATTTTTAGTTAGGTTAATAGAACTATTATTATTGCACATTATCGGAATACGTTGAAGTCTAATGTCGAAATCAAGTCATTGTTGCTTAAGACATAAAATTTGAGCACAATAACTACCCACTCCAATGTATTCCGCCTCAACAGTTGACAAGGAAATAAATACTTGCTTCTTGCTATGATAACTAACTAAGGAATTTAAAAATAAGTGGCACGTTCCACTAGTGCTATTCCTATCCAATTTACAACCAGAAAAGTCGGAATCAGAGTAACCAACTAAACTATAATCGCATCCTTTGGGATACCAAAGCCCATACTTAGCAGTACCATGAAGATATCTAAGGATGCAATTTACATTTTTTAAATGATATTCCTTAGGAGCAGATTGATATCGAGCGCACATGCACACACTAAACATAATGACAGACCTATATGCAGTAAAATATAAGAGATATCTAATCATACCTCTACATCTTTTAACGTCAATATCCTTACCATTTTTATATTTGTCCAAGTTTTTGTTTGTGGGCATTGGAGTGTCAATTGACTTTGCATCTACCATTTCGAAGCGTTTAAACAACTCTTGGTAGTACTTTGTTTGACACACAAACGTCCCTTTTTGGGTAATTTTATTTAAAGTCTGAGAAAGTAGCTTAGCTCTCCCATTAGACTCATTTCAAATTATCCCTGCATTATCTTTGAAAACTTCTTGACTAGTTGCACGTTAGTAGAACCAAATATGATGTCATCAACATAAATTTGAATGAGTAGTATATGTTTTCCTCGACATTTAATGAAAAGTATTGTATCAATATTCCTTATAGAATATCTTTGATCAAGTAAGAACTTAATAAGTCACTCATACCAAGCGGTAGGGGATTGTTTGAGACTGTACAAAGCTCGTTTTAGTTTAAAGACATGATTAGGATACTCCTAATTTTCAAAACTGGGAGGTTGTGAAACATACACTTCTCCACTTATGTAACCTTTAAGAAAATCACTTTTCACATTTATTTGAACTAATTTGAAATCCTTGGAACATGCAAATGCTAGTAAAAGGCGTATAGCCTCAAGGCGGAAACCGAAGCATAAGTTTTCTCATAGTTTATTCCCTCCTATTGGTTATATCCTTGAGCCACTAATCGGGCTTTGTTCCTTGTTATCACTCCATTTTCATCCAATTTATTTCTAAGAACCCACTTAGTGCTTATAACTTGATGATCTCGTGGAGGTGGGACAAGGTACCACATATCATTTCTCTTAAATCAATTTAGCTCATCTTGCATGGATAAGCCAATGCTCATCAAGTAAGGCCTCTTTTGCGATTTTAGGTTCAATTTGTGACATGAATGCAAAGTGATAACAAAAATTACTTATCTTTGAGCGTGTAGTTACACCTTTGGTGATGTCTCCAAGAATATTGTCAATTGGATGGTCTTTTGAAGACCTTCAGGCTAAGGGAAGATCATCCAATTTAGGTGGACTTTCATCCTTCTCCTTTTTATAATCATCATCTTCCTCCTCCCCAGGGTTCACCATTTCAGGCTGATCAGTTTCTTCTTCGGTATCTTTGAGTATGTCATTTGAAGATACATCTGCATCATGAAAAGAAATACCCTTCCTGACATTTCTTAGATAAGATTCATCAAAAGTGACATGCATAGGTAAATTAATAGGTAAATGTATATTGCATTCACAAAAGGATGCATAAATCATTCAAAACATCTAAGAGAGAATATTACACTCACAAAAGGATGCAAAAATACCAGACTTTTTGAAAATATCCAGTAAGAATTCAAGGTTTCCTGACAAAGTTATGAAGAAATACCATATTTTTGAAAAATCTGGAAAGAACATACCAAATATTTAGAAAAATCTGGAAACATATAAGAACTTCCAAATATTTCAAAAAATCTGGTACACATCAAATTTTCAAGAAATTTTGAAAAGTCTGGTAGGCAGTAAAGAAATTTTTGAAAAACATTTTTTTGACATTTTTAACGAAGTATAGCGGATAAAACATATAATGCAAAAGTGTTATAATCTCATTACAAAACAAATCATCTTGACTTCCTAGCCACTTCTTCCTAGTGCCTAATACGCCTCGGATATGTTGATTCTCATTCTCTTGCAACCTCACTACAGTTTTGTTTCCATCGGTCTGTAACTGGAGGTAAAGGACAATTGGGTTTCAACTTCACCTGAACCTAATGATCGTTGTTAATAAAATTAACTGCAATCATTTTGTGTCTACTTGAAGCTATGCATGGAGCTATCACTAATGGGAAAAATATGATGTTAAGGTTCCTGGACAACGAGACCAATATAACATTGTATCTAAAAGTAATAGGGTAACGCATATCAGAAATCGTCATCCACTTATCACGACCTTGCACACCAAAGCCATCAACCCGCAACACATAAAAATGAACATTTATGTAAAACATACCGCATTAGTGGTGAAAACCTGAGTAAAATCCATACGGGAACCGTCAGAATCAAGACCGCACAATTGAATCATACTGAACTATCGAAATTTTAGGTCTATGCAAAAAATCTGATATACCAAACTTTTCCAAAAATCTAGTATACCACAACGTTTCTCGGATTTTTCAGAAAATCCATGAATAGCAATGTTAAATACTTTGCAGATTACAGACTTTTCTTAAAAACCGATAAAATTGTAAAAGATTCTAGATGTTTCGCAAAAATCCGATAAAAGTTTAAGGAATTTTCGAATTTTTCCCAAATATCCGGTAAAAGTTCTAGAAATTTCGGGATTTTTCAAAAAATCTAGTAAAACTACATAATATTTCCGACTATATGCCAAAAATCCGATACAACTTCAAGGGATTTTCGAATATTTGGAAAATATCTTGTAAAATCTCATACAAAACTTTTAAATGTCTGTTAAATTGCATAAAAAGCCAACTTTGCAATTTTTTATTAGATTTTTTAAAATAACTACTAAATTTTTGGTATTTTTCAGGTTTTTACAGAGAAATTTTACAAAATATAAAAATTTGAATGATAAATAATGTGAAAGATAAATTTGTCGAAAAATTATAGAGGAATGAGGTTTAATTTGGGGGATGATATGATGATTTATTCAAATATTATGTGAGTCATTCTTTGAAGAAAAAATTTCGAGAGACTAAAATTAAAAGTTAAATATTTAGAACGAATAAAAATATATTTAATACTCTCTCCCAAAATAAGAGTCACATTTAGAAAAAAAATTTATCCCAAAAAATTTGTCACTTTAGATTAGCAATGAACCTTTATATTTAATCTTCCTATTATACTCTCTAATAAATACTCTTAATTTATTATTTTCTCACTTAACATTAATATTAATTTAAATACACTAATAATTAATCAAGACAATTTGATAAAGTCATTATTCTCTTATTTTTATTTATTAGTATTTTTTAATTTGTGTAAAATATTCAATTGTAACAAATAATATAATTGTAACAAATAATATAAAACAAATGGAGTACTATATAATGCATAAAAAGCAAGGGAATCTACCTTTAGTTAACCTTTAATCCGACAATGGATTAACACTAACCAGATACTTTCCCCTAATCAAGAAAAAATTAAACTCAGGTAAGGTGAAGAAGCATAAGTGAAATTAAAGGAACCTCTTTTCAATTAAAAGAACACATAGAGCCACATAATACATTTAAATATTTCAGAGTATGCACTTTACGAGCGAGTCAAGTTAAGAATGAATATCAGAACGTTTATCTATATATTCTAAGTTAAAACGAGTAAGTGCAACAAGATGTTCGCATCTTTGTATACTTAAAAGACAACAAAATGGAGCTAGTGAAAAACAATGGAGGGTATTTCCTCTTTTGCTCTGTGATTTTGCATCTTATTGTAGCTGGATGTGAGAGTCTAGAAGCACCACTACAAAAGGTAACAAATAGTATTATATCTAACAATCATCAGGTAAAATAATTTTACTAACAAACTTTATCTTAAAACATAGCAGAAAAATTGCACCTATGTCATCACAATAGAGACCACATGTACATGGGGAGCTGAAACCTCAAATCACGTGAGCCTAAGATTTGGAGACGCAAACTCAAGTGAAATATTGGTTAGATACTTAAATTCCAAGCATCTAAGACAAGTTGAGCCATTGGAGCCTGAGGTTCTTGATGACATTGCAAGAAAACCATTTCAAGCATGCATGGTTGATGAATTTGTTGTCACGGCGCCATGTGTTGAGTCCCCCATCTGTTACTTGTACCTCAAGTTAGCCGGGAGTGATGATTGGCGGCCGGGATTTGCGCAGGTTGAGGTGCTTGAGGGCTCTCACCTTAGCTCTAATAATTTCTATTTTCGAAGGTATTTGCCTAGGCTAGTTTGGCATGGTTCAGATGCATGTGATAGTGAGGTTACTCCTTTTGGTTTCAAGAAGAAGAGAAAGGTTCATGTGGAGAATCCTTGAGTGATGTAAAATTATGTACAACTTTATACTTTACAGTGTTTATTTTGATCATGTAGCTTGTAATTATTGCCTTGAAATGTAAGTTGTTGAATATTAATGTCGCTTAAGTAGGAGACCGCTATCAAAAATGATGGTTGTATGAAATACATACATATGGGCTTGAAATTCATGTACATATTATGAATATTTGGGAATGTCTTTTTTTTCGTAATTTCTACATTCTATAATACAATCAATAACTCTCAACCATGACTGAATTTACTGTTAAAACCATTTTACGGTCAATATTTTAGGTTTTCTTTTTCATGTTATATTTATTTAGAATTTATAGCCGCAATTGTAGTCGTAATCTTGTTGATTCACTATTTTTGTTGGTCTCGTGGCTCAGTGTCAAGGTTATTCAAGAACCTTTGGATGAGTTCTCCATATGTGTGGTTAGAACCATGATTTTAAATTGTGAATCGCATCAGGCCGTAATATTGCGGTTGCGGTAACGTCAGCATCCGCATCAAACTGTAAATTATAGTGTGAATGCAAATTACTATAAAAATCATATCATAACGCTGCAATAACCGTATCATAACAATGTACCGACCGCATCAGTCAGCATCATGCCGCAAGAGATTATGCAATGTTCGTAAAAATTATTTGGTCTGCCTTCCTTTTTATTTATATCATAGATTTATGATATGTTTTTAAGGATTATTGATATTCAAAATGATGGCAAATTATTAATGAGATATATATGAAAATTTAAAGAGGAAATGGAAGACATGTGAAATCGAAAATAAATAATAAAAATATGATATTTTATGTTTATAAATATAAATTCACGCTCCAACGACCGCAATCTGCATCGCAACAACCACAATAGTCACAATCGCAATCGCAACCGCAATTTAAAACTATGGTTAGAACTTTAAGGGATATTTGGAGGTTGGTTTCATTCGAGGTCATATGAATCAACTGTTAGAACATACACAAAATGAAGTCGGTGAATTAATGGTGAAAAGTGGTTAATTGGAGAAAATGAAGTTTAGAGAGAAAAATAGAGATTATTCGAGAGAGAGAGAGAGAGAGAGAGAGAGAGAGAGAGAGAGAGAGAGAGAGAGAGAGAGAGAGAGAGAGAGAGAGAGAGAGAGAGAGAGAGAGAGAGAGAGAGAGAGAGAGAGAGAGAGAGAGAGAGAGAGTAATTGAGGAGAAACTCATAAATTGGCATTAACATCAAACAATGTTACAAGAGAGTATTTATAGGATACCTCTAAAACACACATAAGACCAAACTGTCCCAAAACCGCCTAAAAGAACAAAATTATCACGCCAGAAACCAGTTTCCTAAAACGGGAAATCGGTTTCCTCAACTGATAAGCAATTTTCAGAAACTGAAACATGCAGCAGAAACCAGTTTTCTCATACTGGGAAACCGGTTTCCTCTTCAAAACTTTGAATTTCTAGCTTTCCAGAAGTGCTTTTCAAATAAGCTATTTTGTACTAAACGATTACAGAAGCTTCTAAACAGCATTTGACTTATTCTAAACATCCAATACACCACCTTAAGTCAAATTCTCAACATTTCTCATGCTCAAACTACCCACAAAGCTTCTTGAACACATCATTTGTCACACTTTCCGTCAACAAATTCGCAAGTTGTTCTTCGCTTCGATAATATCCTAACTTCAGTTGGCCTTCACATACCAATTCCTTAAAGTAATGAAATCTCATCTCTGTATTCTTGCTCCTCTCATGTGCAATGGTATTCCTTGCCAGGTTAATAGCTGAAATGTTGTCAACCAAGAGCGTAGCATCTTTTTCTTCATTGTTGCCGAACTCCCTTAGTAGATTCATAAGCCACACGACCTGACACACACACATCGATGTAGCGATATACTCGGTCTTACAAGAAAAGAGAGCAACCACAAGTTCCTTTTTAGAGCACCAAGAGATTGAAGCTCCTCCGAACATAAAGACATAATCAGTCGTAGACTTTCGATCATCCTTATCTCTGCACCAATTGAAATCCATATAACCGAGTGTTGCACCCCAAAATTTTCCCTCTTATTTTATCAAGACTTCCCCTCACAAGACTCTTTGAACTCCAGACAGGATTAGGGTTGGCTCTGCTCAAGACATCTCCCTGCATTGATGACCTAAATTAGGGTTTGAGTTTGCACATAGATTTTTGGACTTTCAATGCTCAAAGTGACTTTCATACTTCATGTTGGACTTACAAGATTGCCTCTACCAAGTTTCAAGCCTTGAATCAAATTTTTGCCCAGTCAATTGGACACTTGACCTAAAAATCAACTGTATTGGGGAAAAAGTAAATTGTGGCCAATTTACAGTCAAACCTCATAATTTTTTATCCACATCAACATTATAGACTCATATGAACCATTTGATCAAGTTTGGACCCCAACTCCTTAAGAAATTTGATCAGATCATCGAAAGGGCAAAATGGTCATTTTTAGGGTTTTGACTATATAAGGGCAATTTCTGATTTTTCACCTAGCCAATGGCAAATTGGGTTCAATAATGGATTCAAGGACTCAATGGAATCATATTGACCTATTCACAAGGTTCAAAAGATCTCAAATGCATTTGATTGACAAATGAATTTTTCAGTCAACTGATCAAAATTTGACTGTACACTGAAAAGTCAAACTTTGACTTTTTGGTCAAAGTCAAGTGCCAAGGGTCATTTTTCATCAATATATGTCAAAACATGAAACTTGTTCATCAAGAAACCTAATTTTGCAAATTAGGGTTTAAGATTGAAAAATTTCATAACAGAATTTTTCTAAGTTATGAAATTTTCTTATTTCCCAACTTTGCCCAACATTTTCACCATGATGCAATTGGATTCAAACAAAACTTCCAACATGAAAGTTTTATTCCTCCATAAAATATACAACTTTTATTCACAAAGTTTTATCAAAAGAAGCTTGGATCTCATGTTATGATTTTTGGAACAAGGGTCCATGAAACTTTTAACTTAGTGAAATTTTGCCCTAGTTTAGGCAGAATTTTGACCTATCTTCATGACCATTTTTCACATAGTTCAACTTGTAATCTCAAAATTAATTTCAAATATGTATTGTAAAGCATGTTACAATCTTTCCAAAATGTCCAAGAACTCTCCAAAATCATTTGTGGTTAGGGAGAATCGAAGGTTTGAATTCGGCAAAAACTCACTTTGATCCATGGCATTTTCATGTTGACACAAGTTGCAAAATCTGTCCAAACTTGCTTTGTACTTTATTACAGGTCTCTAAACCATTTCATACTCAATAATTAAATGCAAATCCATTGGTTTGAAGCTTTGTTCTGATTATTAGAGGATTGCAAAAGAGATTAATCCAAAAATAGCAAAAAGGCAACATTGCCATTTTTGTCAAATTTGCTTTATGTCAAATTGCATTCTTGAGTCTTGAACCAAATATTGTATAGCAAACCAAATCCACAAACTTGGGGCCAAGCTCACACAATGTATGCAGGGTTAGAGCTAGCCTGTACAGGCCTGCTCTTGGTCACTTCTCATTTTTTGCTTCATAACCAAGAAACTTGCCAAAATCACACAACTTGCATATCTGTTATAACCAACTCTTGCAAGCATTGGAGATAAGTTTTTGACATTGCCTTGAGCCAGAAACACGAGCCCTCCATCCCTCAAACACTCTTGAACATCAAAACACCAAAAATTTGCAAAACAGGGCACTCCCTGCAGTTTCACTTCCATCTCACAAGTTACTCGTGCGTTTTGCCCCAAACCTGTTCAAACACATTCCATATAACCTATCCAAGCTATTCCAACCATTGGACAGTGACTGTAACTCCATTTGAAAGCTTCACCATTTCTGTTTTCAGCTTGTGCAGGTTGAATTCTACAAGCTTGCTCAAGCAAGTCCAAAGCAAACTAGGCATTGGGGAAGGTCAGAGGAAGTTCAGGCAAGCTCCCAAGCACCTCAGGTCTCACTGAAAAGATCCATATTGCCATACACGAGTTCATCTGAAACAGGTATTTATCACCTTTTTATCTCTCTATTTAGGAATCATCAGACTTAGGTTTGTGAATAAAAAATGTAGTACTCATAGCCCTGAAGCTGTACATATGCTTAGATTTCATTTAAGTTAATCGTGTTAAGAGAATTTGATTCATGAACTTCCTGAAAAAGTTAGGTTAGAAATTAGGGCCAGAGAAATTCTCTCTGGTCTTTGAGAGTTAGATTAAGTTTCTTATATGGTTGGAATCATCTTGAAAAATGCTATGACTTTGGTGTTATGAGTTTTTGTTTTAGAGCACGTATGCAGAATGTCCAGGTTTGTACATGAAACACGTGTTTTGTTTGAACAAGAGGTTGAAGATGAAGATCAGTGGGCTGGGCTTTGGCTTGGCTCACTTTTGACACCCCCTGCTTCTCTGACTGCACCCTCTGGCCCATTTCTTTATATTTTTGTATTTTTGTATTTATTTTCCATTTCTGATTTTTATTCTATTTTTTCTAAACATAAAAACTTACCAAAAATATTTTTATAAATTTTCACATATATTTTTATATTTTATTTTATTTTTCTAACATGAAAATAATTATTAATTAGTATATACTTTTATTTTCTTTAATAAAAACTTGAAAATAATACCTAAAAAATATTATATTTTTATTATTATTATTTACATAAATAATATTTTTCTAATATATTTTCATTTTTTTGACCATTTGTACATATTTCATTATTTTTATTTTATTGTATATAAACAATATAATTAATATATATACTTTTCTTAAAGAAAATTAGGGTTTTTATCCTTGACAAAAATAATCTTTTATTTCTTTTTTTTAATACATTAAATATTATATTTTTCACATACAAAAATAAACAAAAACATTTTTTTGCATATTTATAATACATTGCATATTTATTTAATTGACCATTAAAATACTTGCCTATTTATTTATTTGTACCATTTATTCAATTTGGATGTAATAGCAAATCCTAGGGTT